AAAACCTTGTAGAAAACTACTTTTTGCAAAAGCGAAACGAGCTATGTGCTCACATGGATATTTCGCAAAAAGTAGTTTTCTACAAGGTTTTGAATTGAAGGTTAAAACCGTGAGCCCCAAAAACACCTTCAAAAACTACTTTCTAGCAGAGAATTTTATCATATCCTGTGCGAAAATACTTGCGGGTGTTTTGTTGTTCACACCCAAACTAATAACGTGCCATGTACTGACAAGGTCCAGTATAAAATAAGTTCCTGTAATGTACTAAGTAGTTTATTTTGTAGTTTAATTGACTCAATTAATCGCATAGTGATGCGCATAGTTGTTCGTAATTTCGTCTATACTGATTACAGTAAAAGTAAAATTAGAGTCCAGAGTCCAGGGTCCAGGGTCCAGGGTCCAGAGTCCAGTCCAGATTTTATCCTATGCCAGCATAGTTTAATCTTTTAAAAAACAAATGATTTCCCACCCGCACAGAGAGTGTAAATCCACTTTCATCCGTGTCTGGAGGAAAACCATCAACGCGGAACCTGATACCATAATCTGAAGCATCTTTTGCTTGAACGTTGATAAGTTGAAAAGCCACGAAACCGCGTGCCATGTCTCCCACCCAATGAAAACGCTTTGCGATTGAGAGACTTCCTTTATATACTGCTTCATTTCCTGTTGGTTTTCGAACAAATGTTACCATGTGATCGCCTTCTATCATGTTGTATTCGTTACTCCAGTGAGCAAAAGTAACTTTCAATTCCTTTGCTTTGTCCTCCTCAGTGAGAATGAAATTCCAGGCAAATGTTTGATTAGATCCAATGAAGGAGATTGTCGTTTTATTCGGCTGAGTGATCATTTGTAACCCAGATATTTCCTTCCAACCTAGAACATTAATTAAATTATGTGACAATTCAGACGACGGTTTTAACGTGAAGTTAAAATCGTCGTTTAAACCAGAGACAAATAAAACGAAAAGATACAACCAAACGAAACAAGTAAACGAAAGAAAGCAAGGAAAAGCACGAGCTGAGAGAAAATCAAGCATGGAGAGGGAAACATGCTTTCGATTGCTAAAACGTCGTCAGCTTAACAGCATCAACCAATATTTAAATGACATTAATACGTTATGGGTAAGTGTTTAAACAAACTTTATCCCATTTGCGGCTGAATATTCTGCTCTCTGGCAGCCGATTGAGACCAAAAGTAGCATGTCGAATTATGGAAAATATTCAAGCTTACTTGAAAGAAGTAAATCACTATTAAAAAAGGAGCTTCTTCTGAAAGAACGAGAAACATCAATCACTGATCGCATGATTATGTGAATTAATTTATAAAAAGAACAGTCTTCATGAAACCGCTTCACCTCTTCCTTTCTGGCTCATGCTTTCTAAGGTGTCGAGTATATGTTTAAACAGACTTCCTCATAACCTAACGGGCAGTCACTTAATCCTTTGTCACTTTTATCCAGGATTTGTTCTAATAGGATTAGGTATTGTCATTAAGTAGTTTAACTTGAAAGCTAAACAAGCCAAACCATCGATAGGAGTAATCATAATGAACATGATAAAAATAATTTTAAAAACTAACAAAAATACTTTAAAAAGCTAGAGTTAAAGCATTTATGAGCTATGGAATAATTATTCGGTGGTTGAATTTGATTTGCCCATTGGCGGCATGCTCCTGTCTTTTCACTGCGCCCTCCCCATTCAATGTTTATTTAGCTTGTGTTTGTAAGTACCCAAAACATGATCTTACTGTGACAGAATTAGTACTGGCCTGTTACTTAAATCTCAAGTCAAAGAATAGTATTTTTTATATATATATATAACAATGTAACTATACTGAAAGGACATCGAAACGGGTAGGA